ATTAGTTACTCTTTAAGACAGTGGGCGGCGGTCAGGATGTGCTGCTCCGTAATGACAGCACCGCCACAGTAGGGCTTTGTCTCCTTTGTTAACAATATGGCAGCCTTTTTGGTCAAAATTAATTACATAATTAAAATATCTAATTAAATATTATAATTATTTATTATTAATAATAGTTTTTAACTTTAAAAGTATACTTTAGGAGTTAAAAACTATTGCCACAAAATGCACATACCATCCAAAGCCAGTCCTTAGGGTCGGCCAAAGCGCCGCCAATAATACGCGTATTTTCCGATACACCACAGACTGATAGAGAGATTATCAAAACAATTAATACTTCATTTCAATTAAGTTCATCACAAAATATACTGACTGTCGTTAACATAATCGCTGCCATCGTTTGCTTTGCCAACAGATGGTACCTGTGGTCGGGTATGCGGTCTCGTAGTAGGCCTGGTATTCAACGGCTGCTTCGGGCGTCGGGTGGGGGCGGAGAGCACGGGCTGTGAGGGTTGCGGTGACCTATTGTCGTCCAAGTAGTCGTCGGGACAGCAGACGCCCACATATCGGTTGTGAATGAAGCAAACATAGGACAGGAATTTGTCAAAACTGCGGATCACGTCCGGTATGGGACAGTGTTGGACGTAATGACAACTGCCCAACGCGTTGTCGGGCGTCAGACACGCGTCGTGTCTCTGATAACTGGTGTCTCTCTCCAAAAAGAAGATAAATTTGCGGCTCAGACCCGACTTTGTATGGGCTGTGTTGGCCCAGTGATGTTTCAGGCGCTCCAGTTGTCGCCACTCAGACGCTGGGATATTAATTTCTTCTTCCGTGGGCTCGATGGCAGTCTCTGCCGGTGTCTGTGGTCGGGGTCTGTTGTCGTTGCCGTTGTTATTGCCGTTATTGTCGTTATTGTGTTTATTTCCCTTGTTTTTTGGTTTTTTGTTTTTCTTGTTATTGTTTCCCTGGTTTTGGTTCTGGAATTGCAAAAAACATATAGTATTTGACATTTAATTAAGTTTAATTGCAGTTACATTGGGTCGCTGTCCCTGTTTTTTGGCTAATCCGGGCGGTAGACCACCGGATGGTCCCCTCCCACGACCCCTCCCGGGCTTATTGGGCCGTTGATCTCCCGCCTCCTCCCCGTCCCACTCCTCCTCATCGGTCTCTTCTTCGTCGCCTTCATCTATGAGTCCACTTCGAGGACGGCTTTCCTCGACAATTGTACCACTGGTTTGCTGTTTGCCTGAGTATTCAAAATATAACAATTTATAATGTATTTTAAAAATAATATTCAAAATTCATACCCTTTTTCTTGCAATGAATTTTATTTACAATCGATATAACAATCAGAATATAAAACAAATAACTTATTAAATGATTTAATCTCATAATTAATCATCGATAATATATTTGTTTTGTTGTAATGTTTTAATTTCACTTTACATATAATGTAAGTTCATTTTTATTTATAAATCCGTTGTTATAGTTTTGCAACACTTTTTTATTAAATATTAAAAACTATTAACAAAAAAAAATTACAGTATATGCAAATTGAATCGGAAAAGGAGTTAATGAATATAGTCGTAATGTTGTGTCGGGATGTGTGTGTAATTTGCACTTGGTATAAATAGTGTTCACAGTTATTTGGTTAAACCAATAAAACCAAATAAAACACACCAAATTTAAAAATAATACAATTTGGTTTTATTAATAAAACCAAATAAAACCAAATTTTTATTGTTAGTAATGTATATAACTGGACAAATTATCTCCTGTTTTGCCAAATTTTTAAAATTATTTCATACATTTGTGCATAGTTTAGTTTATTTAATTGTTTTTGATCATAAAATACCGAAAATAAAAAACATTTCAAATAAAAGTTAATTTATTTGTCAAAGAGAGAGCTCAAAGAGGATTATGCTTTATTAACTCATCTGGAATAAAATATTATTAAAACAAATAAAACCAAATTTTCAAAAAATTATTGATGATACACTAAATAACACCAATTTTTTCTTATAAATAATAAAACCAAATAAAACACACTAAATTTAAGAAAATAATAAAACCAAATTTCTGTGAACACTAGGTATAAATAATGGCATTTATTTCATATTAACAAAACTATTTAGTATTCAATTGATAAATAGTTTACAAACAAGTTAATTGTGATTAAAATAGGTGTTTGTTATAGCATTTTCTATTAACACAGTATTAATACAAAAGAGTAAAAATAAAAAATCAATTTCTTGCTACCAATACAGCAATGTTTGGTAAAACTATTGAGTTGTTTGGAGAAAGTGATGTTTGAAGTGATTTAAAGCTAATTTATAATTGCTTTTTGGTATAAGTGGTGATGCCTTCCGGCCATAATTGCGAGTGTCTTTCAGTTGACATTTCAAGTTATTTTAGAGATATTTACTTTCAATTTTGTTATCACTGTATATAAGAATTATTTCAAACTCTCTCTCTCTCTCTCTCTCTCTCTCTCTCT